GTTTTTTGATCATTCAATAATCTTTTTATACTTTTATCATGACTTTTTAGCATCCTGTACCCGTAGGCACGATTAAAAGTATAAAAAAGAATTATGTGATCAAAAAACACAAAAACAAAAGATTTAAAAGAAGGCGGGTTCGAACCCGCAAAGGAGACACACCACTAGGCCACCGGACAACATTATACAATTGCCATTGGTGACGTATAGGAACGAAGTGTTTGAGGGAGGAAAATAGGGAGGGGAAGCAGCAAATAAAAAAGTCAAAAGCGAGATTTACATGGTTTATCGCTTGATTTTGGAGCATAAATATCTCGGCTCTCCGGGCCATTCAGCAAAATTTGAAAACTGTTCTGGAATCAAGAAGCAACCTTCTTTCCAGTGGACCCATTTGTATGTCCTGATCGCGAGATAAGTTCTGACCATTCCCTAGTTAGACAGTGCTCCACCAAATGATAATTTCACCCTCCGTTTTCAGGGAAACACCTAATTAAGTCAATATTCTTGAAAATTTTGTTAACATAAAAAATACTTTTCGAAATTCTTTATTTTTGGATTTCCGGATTTCCGGATTTCAGGGTTTTGGGATTTCTGATATTCAGGATTCACTATTTCCGAATTAAGAATTTCTGGGTTTCCGAATTTCCGGATTATTGAATTTTGTAACTTCCGGTTTTCCAGATTTCAGAGTTTAATAGTTTTAGATATTCAGGATTCAGTATTTCCGAATTTCGAATTTTCGGATGTCCGGATTTTTGAATATTGGAACTGTCGAATTTCCGAGTTTCTGTATTACCGAGTAATCTAACTTTTGAAATTTCCGAATTTCTGGATCTGGATTCAGGATTTTTTGTTATGTGTACTGGATTATGTGGACTAGATTTTAGAATATGTACTCCTGATTCTGGATTCCAGGTTCTTTTTCATTCTGGATTGTGTAACCCAGAGTTTGGATTAGCTTCTTGAATGAGTGCAAATGGAGAATCTAAAATCTAGGTATTCTGGGAGATTACGAAAGCTTCTAAAATTCAAAAAGACTCGGAAGAAACATGTGATTCTGAAGTATTCTTCAGGATATGATTCAGAAAAACTATTCTTAAATTAATAGGTTTATATAGAGTCAAAGAAAAATTATCCAAGAGTAGGAAGACTTTTGGGGATCATTCGGACCGTAATTTTTTTCTCAATTTGCTTTTCTTTGCTAATTCTGTGATTTTGGCGCCTTCGAGATCTCCTTCCAACGTATACCGCTTCTCCTTCTACAGTATTCCAACTTCCCTAAATCATTTTTATCATGATCTAATCGCCTTCAATTGCTTGACTCAGATTCTTTGATTGAATACATCATCAAGTGCAGCTTTCACAATTTCATATCCCAATTTTTTAGTCTTGCTCACTGTTAAATTTTAGTGCAACGATGTGTCATGAGATTACAAACAAGCTTTTGACAGTTTCTATTGGTTATTGGTGATGAAACCGAAGATGATAAAAAAAATGATTTCTGTGGAACTGATATTTGTCGAAAACGACATTCTAGTCAATATACAGTTACTTTCTAGGCGGCAAAAACCTTTTGAGTCATCCATGGTTCCGGTCGTTTGGTTTATCAGTTTATCATGCATCGTCTGGAATATTGAACTCAGATCATCGAGTAGTGCAGTTCTTCCTTGGCAATTAAACGCCGAGAGGCACATTCATTTCTTATCAATGCAATTTCTTTTAGGAGTGAGCAAGACTACACACATATATAGAAATCGATTCAACGGTCTGCTCACAGTTTTCCAGTTTTTTCTCATTTTTCTTGTCTTGCCCTTCTTTGAGATGTTGTTCGATTTCTTTAAACATTTTCAAATTACAGGCGCAACAAAGTGCTGTTGCCTGCTCAGCGGTATACCGGAGGAACATCATAATAAACGGAAATTGAACAAAACGAAACCTGAATAAAAAGCTAACAGAACCTAAAGAGCCAAAAAACTGAACCCAAACGAACAACCATGGCATCTCCTGATCAAAAAACTTTCTTCGCTTCTCGTCGTTGGACTTCTCATGATGGACAAGCCAAAATTACATTGATTTGTCTGGAGGATACCCTTAGAACTGATGCCGACGAGAGCACCCTCAAGAGTCACAATTGTGGACTCGGTGAATTCTTTCGCATTATCAATGGAAAAATTGAGAAAACGAATTTTATAAAAACCGAGGTTTTTGAAAATGTTGCATATGTGGGTACTGAATTCGTTGAACACAATTTTAAATTATAATTTAGGTTCCCAATCTACGTGTGAAGCTGGAACGCATAAATGGAACTCCATTCTTTGTATCTGCACTTCTTCCGAAAGCAATGTGTCGTGACCTGAATCTGCCAAATGGAAACTACACTGTTACCATGAATTCGTAAGTTTACTCTCACCCCAGTATTTTTCTATTCATCAAACTTTCAGATTGTTGGCCCCTGAACAACTTCCATTAGGGGAGTTAGTTCATTTCGAGGCAACCAATGTGAGAAGCTTAGACGCTCCGAAACTCAATGATTTCCCGCTGATTGATC